GCATCCTTTCAGCTTTGGCCCAACCACCATTAGTTCTGAAGCTACTTATACTTGTCCTCCGCTTTTCCTCAGTAGCATGTTCCGACCTGAGGGGCCCATCTTCCAGCATCTTATCTTTTAGCCTTTTGTTTCTGTCCATGGAGTTTTCTTGGCAAAGATACTGGAGTGGCTTGCCATTCATGCTCCAGGTGGATCGTGTTTAGTCAGAACTCTCCACTGTGACCTGTCTGTCTTGGGTGTCCCTGCACAGCATAGCCCATAGCTTCTCTGAATTACTCAAGCCCCTTTGCCATGACAAGGCAGCAATCCATGAAGGGGCAGCAGTCTGTGAAGGTAGGAAACTGTAAAACAACTGAGCCTTGTGGATGTAACAGACTAGCAAGTTTGTTTGCAATATGTTTTTGTTCATTGTAGCCCACGCCTTGGGTTAAACTGGGGGCTTGATCCCAGTAGCAATAAAACCTGCTGTTGTAATGGATTCTGCTAAATAAATAAATAAATAAATAAATAAATAAATAAAGTTTACCATACACACAAAGTATGTGCACGGTGGGCGGGGAGACTTGTCTTCCCACCTCCTTGCTGAAGTGGTCGGCTGCAGGAAGATATGGGGCAGTGCCAGAAGGACTACATCCACAATGTCTCCACTGCTGGGAGTGTGTCTGGGTGGTGGGGAAGGACCGCCAGAATATCTGTGTTGTGCTAACGGACTTCATATTCATCTCCCATGTCTAGTTGTGACTTACTATTGGATTTCAGCTATTGGTTTTCCCATTTCTCAAAAGTAATGAGGTGCTTCAGTTACACGAGGGATGACACAATTCTGTTAGTACTCTGAAATGTTGGTATTGTCCCTTGTTAGGTTACAGTTGCAATGACCAGCGTTCTATCGGACAGTTCTACCAATACAACGAGAATGAGATTAGCAGCAGCAGAGATGGCTGATTAGAACTCCCTTTCTTTAATTTGGTGTGTCTGCCTGGCATGCAATGAGACCATTCTACGTACCCTCAAATTGAAAAACAAAAAGTCTTTATTTGGTAACAGTCTGACACTGATGCTGATGCTATTCCAGTTGTGCAGGCAAATCTGTGCAACAGAATACTGACCAATGTAACGTGGCTATGTTTTTGTAGCAAAAAAGAACAAATGATACAAAACCTGTTATATATATCCAGTTAATTACATGTAACCAGTTAATTCCAAGGCAATTAATTAGCCAAAAGGCTCCAAGGTAACCCCTCCCTTGCCCCCTTATGCTATGAGGGCTGTCAGCTAGGACAAAAAGTGATTTATCTCTCACTGTTTTTGGCCAGGTTGTTGCCGCCCTTGGGGACAAATGACCCGTTGCACCAGCCAGGATGGAAGCAGCTGCAATTTTGTTTGGGAAGCAGTTTCTCAGGTCAGGCACAGCACACACACAAGGCACCCGTTGTAATATTGCTATGTGATGTGCACTGTGTTTTGGAGTCCTCTGCAGTGGGATACAGGTCTGCTGAGTGTGATTTCATCTTGTGCAGGGAAACTGCTTGGGGCTTACTGTGGGCTAAACCAAAACCAGCAAGAGGCACCACATAAATCGGGTGCCTCTTGGTGTTGCATTGTTCTTCTCCCAGTACAAAATTGCAGAAGGGCAATTGGTATCTTTGCAGAGATTTTCTGGCATGAGCAACAGGACTCCATTGAGCCATGTTGCCTTAACATTTCAAGACAAGCTATGACAAAATGATGTCCGTTATTTCTTTTCTTAATTGCTTTCCTGCAAAACACCCACATATACTCAGATTGCTGGCCTTAACTATTTTAGTCTATGTTGGCTTGGAATGTACACACATTGATGTCATATAATTATCCTGTACTATTTACCTGCACCAATCTATGATATTCATTCTAGCTTAAATGTGTTCATTAGGGAATGTGCACTAGCACCAAAATTCAGGTTCGGAATCTGAAGGGCTGTTATTCCAGAACAGGATTTTTAAAGGATTTCCCTGTGTGAGGGACAGCTCACAGAACACTCCTGTCAGTCAAGTTAGAGCTCTGATGTGGGAGCCTATGACATGATACCCTGTATCCACTGACACCTTCCCAGTGAATTTTCTAACAAAAAGAGTGCACATCAACAGCCAGGTACTAGGAAATAACTGTAATAGAGATGCTGATGGAACCCTGAACAGTGGGAATGCAGGCAGGAAATGCCGGCAACATTAGAGAAGCAAAAGACAGGTCACATTGGGAAATGGGGAAATGCCCTGGGCAGCACTGGCAGGTAGGCCGGAGCAGCAGATAGCTTGTGCCAATTGGGAACTGTGCCAACAGGATGGGGCACACCACCGTTCAATGACCGAACACAATCTTGGAGCAACTGTTGGAAGTATGAAGGAGGCAGAAGCAAGGGGTAGTAGACTGAAGCATGGCATACCTAGTACTGAGAACAGAGTGTGCCGTTCTGTCTTACTTAAAGGGGACTTCAGAGAAGCCCAGTAACAGTAGGTTGACCTAATGGTTTTCTACAGATCCAGATTCTAGGCATGAGTGGTGTGGACTGACAATGTTCTCTGCTTGAGAGAACACTCTCTCATTGGGCGGGACAGCAGTCTTACTGCCACCCTTGGCCAGACCTCTCCAAACACTCTTCTTCTCACCCCAGTACGACACTTTACTGATTGTCTTGGGAGACACCTACAAAGTACACTTAACACTGTTGAAGCCCTTTCTCTAGTGAGAGGAAAACATCTTCCTTTTCTTAGAACTAAAATGTAAGACACAACATTTTACACCTCAAATATCTGCGTTACATAATAAATGCATAGGGCAATGCTTTAAATTATTTTTTAAAAATTCAAATTACGAGACAGCATGTTATTGGAACTGCTGTTTACAGATGAACAAAATCTTTAATTTCTCCTCTTACCAATGCAAAGAAGAGGGAATCCTGTATAGTAAGAGGTGTGGAGAGAAAAACAATGGAAGGAAATGTTTTTTTGGCAGCCAGTCAACTTCTTGTGTTCTTGGACCTTGCACCTATTTAAAACTAGCAAGCTCTGCCAAAATGATGGAAATGTTCTCAAATGGTGCTCTCCAGCTGCAACTGGTTGACAGCCCCCATCAACTTGAGCCAGGGTGGCTAGTCGAAAACCTGTAGTGAGCCCTGGCTTGACATTTAGAGCCTGAAATGTTCAAATATGGAAATATGAAAGAGAAAAGACATTTGATCCTGTGACTGTGAAGCAGTTCCACAGAAGGAAGTGGATAGTTGTTTGCTGATATCCAGAACATTATGACAGAGGTATTATTCATGCCACAACATTAAGATATTAGTCCCAATGTGATTCAGAAAGACTAATCTTTCCCATTACTGTTCCTATCCTCATACACATTCATCTCATAATAGAAATCTCCTGAGTTTACCAGTGCCCTACATTCTTTACATTTTTATTTCTGTGCAGTTTTTTCTTCTAATTTTGCCACTTTGGGGCCTGATCATTAAATATTAAAGTAATCTGCAGCAGCAGCTTGAGCAGTGAACAAGGGGAAAAGGAGGGTGGATACCAGTAAAAATTCAGACCAAAAGTACAGCTGCATGGTAAATATTTTTCACTCTTTATTGGACCATGGAAATGTTACATTTTTGCATGACAGCTCTTAGGACAGCTGGCAGAAGGATTCTAGTCCAAAACTACCTTTTCTAACTAATTTTTCCTGACTTTGCTCCTCATTCAGGGAGGTGGAAAGGAAGACAGGGCTAGCTGTCTAAAAAGGTAGGAAGTCATTGTGTTTTCCATGAATGGAGGAGAAGGAGGGAAGCAGTGGCAAGGTTTGATTCTTCTGGAGACCTGGCCAACCTTCCAGGTCAGATCTGGCTTTCGCATTCTGTCTTATTTAGAGTAACAAAATAGCAAGAATGGAGACTATGCTCTGATACAGCTTTGGTACTGAAATAATTGTTTTTCTTTCCAATTTTATCTTCTATAGAGATGCAATGGTCAGTTTGGAAGTTGAGATACTCTTAGTGATAGTTCTTATAGGCAGCTTCCCCAGGAGATTCTAAAATTACAGGCAGTTGCATCAGTCCACCTTAACCATGGGGAGCATGTCCTTTGGAAATCTAGTGGCTCTTAATTGCCCACTCAAGATCAAATCACCCTCAAATATTCTGCACTACAAACATGATAGCTTGGAATAGTACATAATTCCTGAGAAGATTTGTTTCCTCTCACAGCTGCAATGAGGACTGCTGCTAAGCAGAAAAGGAAGAGGGCCGTCTGGAAATGGAGATGATGTCATCATTCTTGCAAGCCCTGGTTCTGTTACACTATTAGTGCTTTTCCATAGAGAAAGAGGAAGGGAAGAAGGCAATAAGCTTTAACCCAGAACAGAACATATACAGTATGTATGACTTTCCAGTCTTTTACTCAACAGAAACAAATTGTATTTCATTAAACAGAAAAGTGCCTCACACTAATGGGGTGGTATAGAAATCTTTGAAAATAAATAAACCTCATCAGTAAACCATTACAATAAACCAGTAAGTGTGTAGTTTTAATTTGGAAAGCCCGAGTTCCAATCACCGTTCTTCTGCTTGTTCCCACTTCTTTTTCTTATCCTCTCCTTCCATGAATGTAAAGGCAGTTATCAGCCCAAGGAAAGCAAATCACAGCCAGGCTTCACATATACCGTATGCAGTTCAGGAACATGTTTGCATAAAATGTTGTCCCTCTAATGCACAAGTTAATAGCTGGCATGGGTGCTTTTGAACTTTTGAGGATGAAGGGTGAGGCCCTCGGTGCACAGAAACACCCTGGAGAAGGGCAGGGAACCCTTCTCCTCCCCTTAGGGATGAGCTGGTTGCAACAACAAGCAACAGAACTGGATGGAGCATTGTTCTTGGTTAATTCACTGTCTAGCCAAGGAAATGACGAGAAGGAAATTATTCCACTGTCTCAGGAACTGTGTGGCTATCTAAGATAAGAGAAACAGTTGCTAATTTGAGTATAAAAGCAGGAAGTGTAGCACAGTGATTTCCTTTCATGCAGGCAGAACAATGCGAGGGGGAATGTGTAGGGGCCTTTTTTTCTAATCAAATTTCTAACATTCCACCAAATGCTCTATGGTAGATACAACTCTTCTTTTACCTTGACAATTTTGAAAGCTATGGATCGCAACAGTTCTAGTTCTGAAGAGTCATGGCCACCCAATTTCTGGAGTAAGTACTTGTGCATATTGTCAAACAATCGGAACTGTGTCTGAGAATGTTTTGTGCACTTTCTTTCTTTCTGAGTTCCTTCTGTGCGCTCCAATTCTTTAGTGCATTGTGTGTTTTGTTTCCAGTGTGTTCAGTGCTGTAACCTTCATTAAATTTCTTTTAATAGCCATTTTTGCAAAGTGTCTGACCAAATATTTTAACATTGGTCTCCTATTTTTCTTGTCAGGCTTCATTATATGTGGTCAAAATGTAAACATTTATTAGAAATATATATATATATGTTATTGCTGCTCATTGAGCCACTTCCCGGTGAAAATATTTGCCAGTTAGCCTTCGTTTGTGCAGAAACTGAAATAGGTGAGAAGTGTATTGTCTGTGACCTACAAAAGAGTTTTTATATTGAGAGCAATAAGTACATAATTTCCTCCCCAGTTTGTTGGATGAACAGAGCGCAGTCCTGTGGAGAAAGTAATTAATATTTTATCCATCAACAGGTCTAACATTATAAACTGGAAACTAGTAAAAATGCAGTATGTTTGGATCATTTGGTCTTTAAGGATGGAACAATTATGTCATGTTCATGAGCTGCGCATGAATCTCATTCCTGTTAGTCTTTCCCCTGGGATATTATATCTTTAATAGATGAGTGTGGGACTACTCATCTATCAAAGGAGCCTCGTGGTGCAGTGGTTAAACAGCTGTACTGCAGCCAAAACTGTGATCACGACCTGGGGTTCAATCCCAGGTAGCCGGCTCAAGGTTGACTCAGCCTTCTATTCTTCCGAGGTCAGTAAAATGTGTGCCTAGCTTGTGTGGGGGGCAATGTGTAGCCTGCATAATTAACTTCTAAACCACCTAGAGAGTGCTTGAAGTACTATGGGGCGGTATATAAGCAGCACGCTTTGCTTTTTTTGCTTCGCTTTTTGCTGTTTATTTTTTCCTAACTTTAGGGTGGCTATGAGAAAAATCAGGTGTCTCTGCTACTTCACCATTCTAACGTTAACAGAAACACAACAGTTCCCCATCAGTAGAATACTGAGGTGGTGGGTGGGAAAAGCCATACTTCCCCTAACTATCCGTGACAGCATTGCCCATAAAAACTGTGGCTCTCTAAGTGGAAAGTTATATGCTCTCTCTCTCTCCCTCTCATAATCTTTATTAATGGATCATGCTGAACAGGCACTGGCTTGCACCCTGAATTTTGTGCATCTTTCACTTTTTCACTTTCTGCGGATCTAATTTTGATAAAGTGCTTCCCTCATACTTGGACCTTCCACTGGGGATCAAACGCATCAGGGAGCTGAGGTACTTTACCTCATTGGCTCGGACACTTATTATGGTACTTCATTCTCTGAAAGGAGGCCCACTTTGGCATCAAAGGTGTCAACATCACTGTTGTCATCATCATCATCATCATCATCATCATCATCATCATCATCATCATCAGCAGCAGCAGCAGCAGCAGCAGCAGCAGCAGCAGCAGCAGCAGCAGCCTCTTCAAGCAGGAGGATGTTTCACACATTTCTGCCTGGTGATCCAATATACTGTAATAAACATAAAACCATATTTATAGTGGTGGAAGTGTCGTGAAAGGTGCACAAACCAGTATTTTTACCTTTTTGATAGGTGTACTTATTTAAATTCCCAGTAGAATCCTCCTCTTCTCTCCTCTTTTTCTACTGATATAATTCACTATGGCTGATATAATCATTTAAATGATACCCAGTGTGGTGTACTGGATAGAGTGACAGTATAGGGGCCCTTGGTTTAATTCCCATAGTTTCAGCCACAGAAACTGATTAGGGGTGTTGAATTGATAAAGCCACTCCTTAAATATCTAATTTTCTTGAAAGCCCAATTAGGGTTGCTATAATTCAGTTGTGACTTGACGGCATATTAAAAAAACAGAAGCAAACAAACAAACATTGAAATAAAATGAGGAAACAGAGAGGAAGATGGGAGATGTTCACCCCATTGTTAAGCAGGAGAGTTCCCGTGTTTTGAAAGATGCAGCAGTACAAGGGGTGGGGATTGCCATTACTTGATGCAACCTCTTGCTGAAAAAGCTGCTTTTCTTCTTCTTATAGAGGTGCCAAAGACATAAGACCCCAACATATGCAAGACGGCTCTTGAGGCAGGAAATAACCTAGCTGAAAACAATTGCTGGAATCTGTATCCCTCTGCCACAGAATAAAAATATTCAAAGTGGTTTAGGGTAAAAACTGCTGGAAAAGTTGGGCAAATCTTGATCAGGGGCATAAAAAGAGGTGCGTAGGTGTTGCTCTCTTTGCCCTTAATCTAGTACCACCACAAAAAGAAAAGAGTTTTGGTGCTGATAGAGGGGAAGATTTTGAGAATGTTAAGGGAAATACAGTAGCTCACCTACATGTAACAAACTTGACATTATGACAGAACACAGCAGATAAATTAAAAACAAAAGATGCAGTATTGCACATTGCAGGATGATACTATGGATGAAGAATAATAGATGTAATTGCTTTTCTCCCACTTTCCAAATGTGTAATTTAGCTATAGTATCAAATAATTTTTTAAAAAGAAACCCTACATATTTATCCCCTGAAATTCTTAACCAAACTTTCAGTAGGGGGACACACTCCACTGGTTCAGAATCAATTTTAGAGGCTAAGTCTCAGAAGGAGTTTCAACAACTTTTGTCCTGCACATTGTTCATTAATTTCTATGTATTTAGCTCCTCCTATCTTTCTGGTACACTTGCTGGCAGTTGTGTCTTTTAATTTAGTAGCCGTGAACCTAACTGTTTCTGGGTGCAGCGTGGAGCTAAAGCATGCATTTATCTGCCAAGAAGGCTGGACTCAATGATCCGTAGGGTGCCTTCCAGCTCTGAACCTCTAAGATGATGATGATATAAAGATAAAAGATATTGAGCAAACAATGAGACTGGGTTTCAGTAACACAGTAGACAGTACAAGAAAATGCTTGTCTACAGCTATTGGTTTGAATGGGCCCCATTATTTTATGCTTAAATAAAGAAAGATTATGACCAGAGGAAACATATTGTAGAGAAAGTACATGCCTATAGAATGCTCCAGTTAGGTGGACAAAATATCTCATCCTCATCTGAGGCAGCTTCTGGTGTTCCTAACATGAGATAAAACCTTGCAGAGAGACAGTGTAGCTTTGCAAAACTTTTTCCATTGGTTCCTATATTTGCTTTCTTCAAAGCATGGCCCTAGTATTCAATAGAGTTTCCTCTAAAACAGAGGTTCCTTAGAATTACAGCCTTGGATTGTTTACGTTCTGCTTTCTGATGACAAAATAAGTTGCCACAAGGCTGCAAATATCAAACAGGAGAGGTAACATTAAGCACTACACCTGTGATTCTACCTCAATAAAACATCATTTGTAATGTTGCAGAAAGCAGCAATATTGTAAATGTTCTGGAAATATTTATCCATATATGGCAGGAAAAGGAAGCCAGAGTTTGGGAAGAATGTCTTACTTCTCATCTACATTTCCCCCATCTTTCATCCTTTCAAAAATAACCAAAAGACAGAAGGAGCTGCATAGAGTCTGTTGACCACATTTCTAATGTACGTAGCAAATGTTATTGCAGGATATTTTACTGATTGTTACTGCTGTTGAATTTCCGTGTTACTAAGGAACATCTAGAGCAACTTGGCTCCATGTCTGGTATCCTGCTTGCCAAACTTTCCAAAGGCCATCCTAATAGGCTAACATCCTAATAGGTTAACAACTATAGGAAAAGGGAACTTCCACCTGATTTAATTTTGAATATGAGTAGGGTCCATAAATCAAAATCCCTGGAAACGTGGTGCCATTTTCCCAGGAGAGGTTCTTAGCCTTGACTATGTTATTGTCACTTCTTCTGTCTACTTACCTTCTGGAATGATCATCATCAAGGAAAGAAAAGACCAAAAAAGGAAAGGAAAGGAAGAAAATTTTGCTTTTGGAGAAAGTACTGGATTGATTTGATTGAACACTCATTTTTAAATTTTTGGTGGGTCTTTCATGTGGTCCATGGTATCCATAAAACTTTTTCCCCATACCACATTTCAAACAAATCAATCTTTCTTTTTTCTTTCCGCTTTCATTACCATTGACCTTTCTAATTTAGATATATAGGTCAATTAAGTTTCATGGAAAGCTGTTCTTCAGAGAGACCTTAGGTTAATCAGAAAAATTATTTGATTTATATTTTGGACCTATGATTCTTTTAGCAATTCAATGCAGAACCTACTTGTTTGTTTTTCTTGTGGTTAACGGCATTTTCAAAGCTCTTGTCCAATGCTGTATTTCAAAAGAGGTGTTTTTTCCCCTGTCAGCCTTTTTTAATGCCCAGCTTTCACATACACACATAGCAATATGTACTATGAAATTAGAACAGCTCATATGTTCATAGGTACCTAGCAGCACCATAATTTTTTTAAGCTGATTTGTCAGAGCAAGTAGTTTTCCAGCAGAGGGTGCTCTTGTTCTAATTATAATATAAGCTTTATCAGAAAAAAAAACATTCTTTTATCAGGAAAAAAACATGCCTCTTGCAAACTAGCCTCCTCTTGATTTCCCCCCCTTCTTTTTCTCCTGAAAGGGGAAAATATAAACTGATTTCAAGTTTTACTTTAGGCAGCTTCAAGTGTCACTTCAGCAGGGCCAGTGGCCTAGCCAGAGGTTGGGAGTTTGATTCCCCACTATGTCTCCTTGACAGGGTCTGGACTCAGGGATCCATAGGATCCCTTCCAGCTCCACAGTTCTAAGGTTATCCAATGATTTACAGAATACAAACTGACATCTCACGAAATAACAGGGCAGAGTCATTAGTGGATAGAAGCCTCTCCCAACGTAGCAGTCTGCAGGGGTGTTGCTCATGATAGCTGTTTGGCTGGGGCTGGGGGCAAGAGACCTCACAGAAACGTAGCAATCTTAATCAGAAAGCTGCAATAAGATTTGGTTTATTCACCCAGTAGGAGAAACCAATTAAAGCCAAATTAATAATGGTACCTGCTGGTATGTAAGCAGATGTTATTGTCAGTTTGCAGTCAACTTGGTTGATGTCAAGAGTCCATGTAGTCTCCTTGATGATGCTGACGGGTGGCTTTCTCTGCTATCCTCAAAAGTTCTGGAGTCCATGTAGTCTCCTTGATGATGCTGAGGGGTGCTATCCTCAATAGTTCTGAAAACAACAACAACAACAACAACAACAACAACAATGAGACCTCTGTGACCCCTATACAATGCAAATGCAGGAGAAGGTCATACTTTTATTAGACCACTAAAAAATATAATCAAGCAATCAGTGTGCGTTTTTGTGGTTAAAATCAACTTCTTCAGGAATGCACCAATATCTTGTGACTACCTGAAACTTAACCCCCACTGATGCATGAAATTAAACTTGCACTCTGTGGCTGAAATCCAGTAGCACATCCTAACTACAGCAGGCCCAATGAACCAGTGGGGATTTGGTGAACCAACACCCATATAAGGTACAGGTACATTGATTCAATGGACTAATGTCATTGCAACTTACTATTGGATTTTAGCCTATGCATTTTAGTAGGTACATAGCATTTTAATGAAGTACATGATAAATAACACTATGTTTTTCCTTTATTTTTAGATCAAATAATAATAGCATTTTCAGTTTCTATGGTCATTGGACTCATTATTGGAGGCATGATCTGGGCTTTGCTAACATGCCTGTCTAGCCGGAGAGCTAGTGCTCATATTTCCCAGTGGACCTCCTCGTCTTTTAACCGACGTTCCAGACCTACCTATGGATGTGCTGCCAGCAGGCCAGGATTCTACCGGAACAGCAGCTGTGAACGGCGCAGCAACCTCAGTTTGGCCAGCCTTACATTTCAAAGGCAAGCTTCCTTGGACCAGGCCAACTCTTTCCCAAGGAAATCAAGTTTCCGGGCCTCCACGTTTCACCCCTTTCTGCAATGCCCTCCACTTCCTGTAGAAACTGAAAGTCAGCTGATCACTCTGGTACCCACCAGCACGACCACAACCCTTACAGGGAGCACCACCAATAGCCTGTCTCGTCCTGAATTTCACTGGTCTAATAACAGTCTTCGTGTCTGCCATTCAACACAAACCCCACCTCCTGCCTATGACTCTATCATAAAGGCTTTTCCAGATTCTTGATTGCTATTCTTGGTATCACACATGGAGAAAGAATCTCAGTTCTGTGGTGTGTGTTTTTGTGTGTGGAAAGATACCAGAGAAGCTTACCAAAGCTGAAAGGACCTACAGCGCTAAATCGCGAGTGGCAGCATCACTAAGATGCAGATGAAACAGAGCAAAACACTGATCTCCCTTAGCTTTGAAGACCTTCTTACACTATACACAACCATCTGTGATAACCTGTGTATTTATATTTATCTCTGCTTTGTAATTATTGCCTCTAGTTTCAGTGGTCTGAAGAAATTGAACCATTGCCAAAGGCAGAAGCCTAAAATAACTTGTACATACTATTAATTACTAAGTACGTACTATTAAGTACATACTATTAACCTAAGCATAGTGTTGTTGTTGTCTTTTTTCATATAGGATTTTCTTATCCTCCAGGGGTTTGGATTCCCCTATGACTTGTTCATCCACTCACAATATTGACATTTGATAGCAAGGTTCATAAATATTCTCCAGCACATGTTAATGTTTAAAACCATTTAGTATTTGTATTATCTTTCATAAAATTTATATATTTTTTCAGTTATATCTACTTCAAATCATAATCTAGTGATTTACCCTGCAAGCTTACTTTGTATATCTTGTACAAGCTGAGGAGAAAGTCCCTCTGAATTCAGAAAGGCCAAAAGGAGATGTGTACCAATGCTAGCGCCAGGATATTTGTGTGTGTGGGGGTGTCAGTGTGTGTCTGTGTCCTTGGGTCTCTGTCTGTGTGTCTGTGTGTCTGTGTGTGTCTGTGGCCTGGAACACCCCTCTCATCATTAGGTTTCCTAAACATGAAATATTAAATTTCTGGAAACTGAGAGTCCTGTTATGGTGCTTCTTGCTTTCTCTTAGATGAGGATGGAGGCTATTGGCCTTCTGTTGATCAGGTAGCTCAAGGAAATATTCTACCTTTCGTTTTTGTGGGGTGTGTCTGTGTGTCTGTGTGTGTCTGTGGCCTGGAACACCCCTCTCATCATTAGGTTTCCTAAACATGAAATATTAAATTTCTGGAAACTGAGAGTCCTGTTATGGTGCTTCTTGCTTTCTCTTAGATGAGGATGGAGGCTATTGGCCTTCTGTTGATCAGGTAGCTCAAGGAAATATTCTACCTTTCGTTTTTGTGGGACTGACATGACTGAGAATAAATTATAATCTCAATTCCACAGCCCATTTTTTTCCTAGTATATTCAGGACTAAACTGATTTAAACAAGGAATACTGGTGGGAGCTGCAGTCCAAGAACATTTGAAGCAGTGCAAGTTGCCTACAAAGGATAGGCACAGGAATAGATTTCTTTTCCCCTGGACCATGGAGAATCCCAATCATATCAGTTAGTTAATTGAGCCACTGGTTCTTAACCTTGGGTTACTCAGGAGTTTTGGACTGCAACTCCCAGAAGCCTTCACCACCAGCTGTCCTGACTGGGGTTTCTGGGAGTTGCAGTTCAAAAGCATCCGAGTAACAAAGGTTAAGAACCACTGCCCTGGACCATGGAGAATCCCCTGAATTTTGGTCAATGGCTTGTTTTAGATTTTTCTTTCATATTTTAAAAGCATATTTGTTCCCATATGTGGGAAGCTCCTGCCCAAGGCCGTTAGCTGTTATCTGTTTTCAGTGAAGAGCAAACTCTCATAGCAGAGAGCAGCGGCTCCTGATGGGCGGGGTGACATCTCATTCTGCCTTTTCCCTTAGAGTTAAGGCATGATTTGTTCCCATATGTGGGAAGCTCCTGCCCAAGGCCGTTAGCTGTTATCTGTTTTCAGTGAAGAGCAAACTCTCATAGCAGAGAGCAGCGGCTCCTGATGGGCGGGGTGACATCTCATTCTGCCTTTTCCCTTAGAGTTAGGGCATGGGTTCAAATACCTTCTCTGGCCAATCCTAGTGGCAATTAGGTAACCAGTATCCTATCTGAATTCTTTCAACATTCTGTGTAATCATACTATGTTAATAAAAAAGAGTTCTCAGGGCATCGCCTTGAGACTCTGCTGGCTCAGACGTCTGTTGTTGACACTTTTTGTTTTCCCTCTAAAAGCTAATTGCCTTCCCTTTGTTCTGTGATTACCTATATCATTAGCCTTCCTTTGATCTGTGATCACCTACACCCATAGATTCTGTTATTGAAAATCTGTATATTAAAGGGACTACACCATTGGTGTTATACTGATTGTCATTTCTCTAATCATGTGAAGTTAGAGGTTTAAATAGCTGGAACATTTACTTCATGGTATGTTCTGACATTTAGATTTGGTTTTAACCAATTGGTGCTGATTTCTTGTGGTTGGATTACAGTTTCAAGGCCTGTTTTAACAGCGATAGAGAAAGAGAAAGTACTGTATATGGTTGATTCACAAAAGGAAAAACATGTGACAGTGATGGATTCATCTTTTGAAATGGTTTGTGGCTTCCGAATACTTATGAAGTAGGAGCAGAAATATGAATGAAATTGGAATTTTGTTTCAATTCATTTTTTTCCCTACATGTGAAGATCTCTTTCATAACTCACATGTCAAGATGTGCACCTGCCACCATCATAGAGACATTAACATGGAACCATGCTCAGGAGACCTCAGAGGAGGGTCAAGAGGGCAAGACCCCCAGTAAGTACACTGTCTCCCCAACATTTCTGTTTTGCTGAAGTCTGGAGACACACCCTCTCCTTCAAGAAGTGTCCTCAGCTCCCCCACTGCAGCTGCAGCTACTAACCATGTGTACTTCTGGCCCAAAACGGCTTGCCATATTTGCTATGGTAGGCAGGCACATATTCTGGTCCCTTGTAAGGATCTAGGGGATCAAGAAGTTCCGTTTCTGCTGATGGACTCTCCAAAATTCTCTCCTTCCTAAACATCTTGATTATGCCTTTTCCCACATGGCTCTGAGAGGATAATCCCACTGTTTCATGAAGAGAGAGGGTGAATTACATTCTCTATTTGTATCTGTGGGAATGCTGGCCTTTCAATGGTGAAGACTTTGATCTTGGTTGTTCAGACGCAGAGGACTGCTAACACAGCCACTGCTTGGTTAAATCAAATTTTTAAAATTCGTCAGCAAATCTGCACATGCTTTTGACTCATCTCAGTATCTGAGTCTACAATAAAAACTATATTTACTGGAAGTGTCTGCTCAGACCTTCAGTGACACAAGCCAGATCCCTGACCCATAGATCCTTGATGAGATTACAAGATGATGATGTAGTTCAATTTCTAAAATAAAGAAAATAGGGGTAGGATTCTCTGGTATAACATGTCAGAAGGGACAAAAGGAAGCAGAAGGGGGGGGGAGACAGGTCCCATGACCCAGACTCCATTTGCTAGGTATGATTACGTGTAATTGACAGCAATGTGTAAGTGACTCTTCTCAAATTTGAGAATGCATGGACATCTTGATATCCCACTGACATGTTTGTCAGCTGGAATGTTACTTGGCCATTTAGTTAGGACCTTTCATGATTGGTTTGCTTTTGTTTTGTTTTGTTTTATGTTTTGGTAAAAAATGTGATTGTTATAGTGTCTGGAAGCTATTTCAACTCAAATAAGTGCAATTTAGGGCCATGACTATGCATTGTTATGTTTTACAGTGTACATATATCGGTACAGACAATTAGGAGGTGGTGAGGAATATTCAAAACTACCACTTAATCCTGCCCTATGTTTTACATTGAAAAGTTGGTTGAGGCAATATCTTAATAACCATGGCTAGTACACTGTTGGACATTGTGAGGATGTAATGCTCTGCTGATATTACATTCTGGGTAATCTTGTTAAGCAAGGGAGAGATTGCTCCATTGCTAATGTACTCTGATGACTCTAATCTCATGATACTGGTAAATATGATCTGGGTTCTAATCTGAATTTTAAAAGAACTATCAAAAGTGCAGGTCTGTTTTGTGGAAAGGGTTCCGCAACTTGATTAGCTCTTGCAAAATATGCTTGAACCCAGACCAGATTCACCCAACCCCAGGCAATTGCCTTCCTTGCCTGTTGCACAAACAGGGCAATGAGACTATGGAGAAATTCTTACACAAACTCTGCTAAAGTCCAGCTGCTCACACAATGAAAGGCTGTGTGCATTAGCACCGAAAATTGTATTCAGAATTTGGATTTGGAATTCGGAATTACAGCCCTTTGGATTTTAAATTTGGCATTTAAAAATTCAGAATTTCCAGATATCTGCAACTCCATAACAACCAATATGGATTTATTCTTATTTTTAATTTAAAATATTTTACCCTGCTTTTCTCGTTAAAAAGAACCCAAGGCAGCTTATGTCATTTAAAGGCCATATTTAAAACTAAAAAGCAGTAATTATACACATGCTAAAAAGGGTCAACAAACGGCACACTAAAAATGGTAAATGAAACAACACCAAAGAAGCATTACAAGCAGGAAGGCACAACAATTTATTTAAAAACCCCACTCAGGCAGCCAGTCACTGAGGGAAAGCTTGCCTGAAGAGAAAGTTCTTTTTGTGTTGGTGGAAGGAAAGCAAAGATGAGGTCAGCATAGCTTCTCTTGGGAAGAGTCTAAGAGCAGCGACATAGAAGGTCCTCTCCTGTGTCCCCACCAAACACACTGGTGATGGTGGTAGGACCAATAGAAAGGCCTCTCCTGATGATCTTAACATCCAGGCAGGCTCATAAAGCGAGATGTGTTTCTTGAGAGGGCTTGGACTTAGGCCATTTAGGGCTTTATAGGTAAGAATCAGCACTTTGAATTGGCTGCCACGCTTTGGACCTTCTGAAGTTTCTGAAGACTTTCCAAAGGCAGTGCCACATAGAGCACATTACAGTAATCCAGCCAGGATGTAACTAAGGCACAACATTTTTGAAGGATTTCACTGTGTCCTCTGGCACCTTTTTTGGTGTGCATTCTTTTTGTTTGGCACAATCACCTTCCCAGTGAATGTGCAAAAAAAGAAAAGAAAAGAAAGAAAGGAAAAGAAAGGAAAAAAAGAAAAAAGAAAAAAGGAAAAAGAATATACACCTACAGGCAACAGTGCCTATGTTACAAAAATGCTGTTTTATATCCTCTGGCAGGTTGAGTTTTGCCTGAGAGAGGGGAGAGAAAGGCACCACACAAACCACAATCACTTAAGTCAGAAATTATTTAATTACCTTGCAAGATAAGGAAAACATAATGCAGTAACATCGAAAGTTTATGTTTCTCTGAATACCACATTGCATCCATCTTATACAGGGTTTCTGTTATATACACTTGTTAATCATTGTCAAGACAAATATGCTTATTACTGTTCATTCTGCCTACTAACATTAGATGACTGCTTAGTATATTCTTTGAAAAAAAAGAAAATTTAAATCTATTCAAAATAGCAAAACAGGACAATACCTACTGTAATACAATAATAGGGAATGCATTATTTATAAGCACTTATAACTTCATATATATATACTTCTTAGTATATCCTGATAATAGTGTATCCTGGTAATATGATCAAAGCTTGAATACATATTATGCTACAATGCTATTCTTTCCTGGTGTTCTTTAGTGTTTACCTAACCATTTCCTCCCTTGTTTCTGCACATCATAGTTCCTCCAGGCGTCCCTTCTCAAGGTATACATTCAGTGATATCACCCCCTTTATATGTTCTCTTTGTTCTGATCTTATCCTCCCATGGAGTATAGCTATCTCATATATTATGCTCTCAAGACAATTCACATCCCACAGAATCTTTTGACCTTCCAAGAGGTCCCCA